TACTAGTAGTAACAAGAAGCTACTAGGAACAAGTGCATCGCTACTAGCAAGAAGCTACCAGGAGCAAAGGGCATCGGTACTAGGAGCAAGGACGCTACTAGGGGCTCCTGGCCGTACTGTCAAGCTACTACCAACAGAATTGCTTCAACACCGAATATAACAACCTTTCTTACAAGCAAAAATGCTAATAAGCTAAGTCGTTTTCCTAAGTTTCGTACTCCTGGTCTTACTTCTTTTTCTAGGTTGGAGTGCCATTGCTATTAGGTTGGAGGCCATCGCTAGTAGGTTTCTTCTTCAGTTCTTTGTTCTTATCTGTCCAAGGACGCTACTAGGGGCTCCTGGCCTTACTACTAGGAGCAAGAAGCTTTAGGAAAGGAAAGTCTTATGAATTGACGCTGCTAGGAGCAAAGGGCATCGCTACTAGGAGCAAGGACGCTACTAGGAGGAGTTTGCCAAGGGCGAGGCAACCGCTCTGGCTTCAGCACTTGGTCGACCTCACCGGCTTCACCTTGCGTCGGGTCACGTCCCCAAGCGGTTTTGCCCACGGAACCCAGTTCTTTGTTCGATTCCACAAACATGTTTCTTAACAAAAAGGTTTAAAGAACAAGCGAGAACAAATCAATGAGAAAAAACACAAAGAAAAAACGAGAACTCTCAGACCTGTCTATCTTCCTGGGTGTCCCTACGCGGTCGCAGCACATTGGCCGCTTCGTTGGGCATCACCTCGGCGAGAGAACGCACCTGAATCCGCTTGGAAAAAGCTCCTAGTAGCGTCCTTGCTCCTAGTAGCGATGCCAGGAGCCCCTAGTAGCATCCTTGGAACGCGCATTTCTTATCCCGCTCCTACTTATATAATTAAACGAGGAACCTACCTAACTAAGTAAGGGGTCACGCTCCTAGCTACTGAAGCTTCTAGGTAGGATGCAGGATAGCCTTCGCACTATTCATTTGGAAATATAGATCTTCAAACTAGATTGTCTTGTGCTCCTGTGTAGCAAGCAAACAAGTACTAGTAGTAGCAGGCGTACTACTACTACTACTACTACTACTACTAGTACTAGTAGTAGTAGTAGTAGTAGTAGTAGTAGTAATACTGGGACGCAGAAAGGTCGGGTTCCTTCAAGCTCCTCCCGCCTGAGGGCGAGGGATATCAAATATCTGCAATGCGACAGCTTGCCCAAATCAAAGAGTTTTCAATGCTATCACTGGCTATTTGTAGAAAAGGCTTTGGAGTGGTGTCTGATGTTTGTTGTAACAACCACAGGTAGTAACAATCAATCTTTCTACTATGTCTTTGAAGCTTCTTACTAAAGCTTTCTAGTAACTAGAAGTTTCCTTGGGAATCGTTTCACTGGGAATTGTTTCACCTGTAAACAAAAAACTTTGGTGCCCAAGATCTACGGCCATTGAAGGCCATTCAGCAGTGGCCAGTTGCCACATATTCCTTATGTTGTTTCTTCCCTTTTTGGGGGGAACTTAAGTTCCCTAAAAATCGAAGAACCAAATGAATAGTGCGAGCGCTTCCTTAAAGAGCGTGAGCTATCCTGCGTCCTGGGTAGTGGCTACTCAAGCTACCTCTTCTACTAGCTACCTCTAGCCACTACCTCTACGGCCTACTCCCCCCGGTCTTTGGACCTTCGGGACTCTTCAGGACTCCTCCTTCTTTTCTTGCTTCTAGCAGCTTCTTGTTCCTAGTAGTAAGGCCAGGAGCTACTAGTAGCGTCCTTGCTCCTAGTAGTAATGCCCTTGTTCCTAGCAGCTTCTTCAAGACTCTTCCTTCTTTTCTTTCTTCTTTCCGTCCTTTCCTGAAGCTCCTCGCTCTTGTTAAAGTCAAGGAACGTACTTCACGCTGCCATTCTCCAGTGCCACCTTGATGCAACCTGCCGGCATCTTGTAGCCATCGGCCACACACTCTTCCTGGAAAATCCTCGAAGTGCCGGGTGTTCTGCCAGAACATTCTTGGAAAAGGAAAGAAAGGTCCAACGGAAAGGAAAAAACGGCAAACAAGACAAACAACAAGGATTCGGAAAAGAACGAAAAGGCGTGAAGGCAAAGAAAAAAATACACAAGGTCTAAAGGTCCAAAGAACACAATGTGTAAACGGTCATACTTAATCACTTCTTTGTTCCTAGTAGTAAGGCCAGGAGCCTCTAGTAGCGTCCTTGCTCC